TTTTATTCGAATGTTCATTCGAATTCGTATTCGAATGAACTATCCAAATTATTCGAGTTTGTTGCAGAGCCAACTGCTGAGTACCAAGCTAGCTTCGTTTGCGTTTTTTTTTTCGCGAAACCAGGTAATGCATCTTTTCGCAACCGTAATGACCTTTGAACTGTACGGAAAGTCGCATTCCTCCGACTGCTTGCAACAGTAAAAAAAAATAAATGTGCATTTTTTTGGATTTTTGTTTATCGATTTTATCGATTTTTGGAGAACTTTGAGTTGCGGGGCTGGGAGTTGGTACAGGGGTTAAGTAAGGGTGCTGATTATGAATAAAATTTTATTTTATCGATTTCACCGATTTCTGGAAAAGCTTGAGCTAGGAGTTGGTATAGGGGATATGAAGGTGCTGATTATGACTGATTTTGCTGACATATCGGTTTTAGCCAGATATGTCAGCAAGTTTTAGATATGTTGCTGTAATATTCGAAAAATCATTCGCATATCCATTCGAAATTCGACTCCCAATGTTCGAATATATTCTATATTCATTCATTCGATACTTTTGATTTTGCGATCTTATTCGATATTCATTCATTCGAAAATTTTTGATTCTCGAATTTATTCGATATTCGTTTATTCGAGACTTTTTATTTTCGAATTTATTCGATATTCGTTTATTCGAAATTTTTTCTTTTCGAATTTATTCGATATTCATTCATTCGATGGAAAATTTTCGAATTACCCACTCAGACAATCGCCGGGGGCAGGCGGGCACCGGAAAAATAGATTGCTGATCTCTCGCACCCCGCTCGCGGATTTTTTGGAAAGCAATCAGGATTTTTCGGAAGACCGCTTGCTGAGTCAGCGGATTTTTGAGAGACCGCCTGTTGAATTTTTTTTCTCTCTTATTTTTTGCAGAAACATCTCTGAGGAATCGAGAACTCAGCAAGCGGCCTTCCGAAAAGTCCTGATTGCTTTCCAAAAAATCCGCGAGCGGGTGCGAGAGATCAGCAATCTATTTTTCCGGTGCCCGCCTGCCCCCGGCGATTGTCTGAGCAAGTAGTAGTCGCTACGACCATGTGTCCCAAAGGGAAAAGTATCCAAAATGTCCTAAACTTAAGAATCTTTCATTGTATAAATACGATATTGCGAAATTTTAGAATCCATCTGGTCACAAGGGAAGGATACCAACATTAGTTGGCAGTTAAAGATGAGATGTACATCATTAGATGCGCCTTTGAAAGCTGATTCCAAATCTGCTTTCCTTTTTTGCGGAATGAGTTTCCGAAGGAAGTTATGAGCGTTTGAATGTCTAGATTTGCCCAGCACTGAGGGGCTTAAAATCAGAAAAAGCTCTAAAACAACACCATGCGAATTCCACCGGCTTTGTTTTTTCTTTGCAAACAATATACTCGATACAAAGATGATTTTCCACTTTCCGGTGTTTTTGTACAACTTTTCGCCAACTTTAGACCACCTAAACTTTGACAAATTGGACATTTGAACGCCCACAACTTCTTTCGGAAACTTATTCCGCAAAAAAGGAAAGCAGATTTGGAATCAGCGTTTAAAGGCGCTTCTACTGATATACACCTCGTCTTCGTATAGCATCATATTCATACCAACTCTAACTCTTGTGGATGGTTAGAGGAAAAACTTTGCAATGCGAAGGATCACTGCAGAGGCAGCCATCAGATCTCAATGCCTATGGAAAGGAAAGCTTGAGAAGAGGGTGCAGCGACAAAATGTGAAGTCGCGGAGCAGAGAAGCGATGGATATCAAAAATAGTGGCCCGTAGTAAACATCCCATCAGTGCAGCTTAACTGATGCGGGCCTACGTTGAACGTAAGACGCCCCAGTCCAGCATTCGGTGAGCTATTGATCTGGATGCGGATTGCTTTCTAAGCATGATAATCGTGTGTGAACTTGAAAAAGCTGCCGGTTGTGCCGGTTTGGTCAAACAGGTAAGCGACTGGAATTGAATGCGGGCAGCCGTAATTCAACACCGGCTAGCGCCACACTTTTGCTGTATCGTCTGACGTCTTTAAGCGACCCCTATCGCAAAATCGATGACGACCTCTATCAAGGATTTTGAATAGCACATGCATGGATAGAACAAAAACACATTTATTGATGAAAATTATATAAAAAAATGAAATGGTTGCGACATAAACTAAACGAATTGAATCGATCATTTCTTTCAAGCAGCTAATCGAAAAAAGTCAACAAACTTTACAAAAGAAGAAAATCTGTTTTTTCCTTTCCACGCCAAAATCAGCTGTTCATCGATTCTCTCCTTTTCGAGCCGCGGCATTGTGCAGTTTCACGCCGATTTTGTCCGCAGTGTGAGGCAAACTGAAGTGTATCGTAAGTTACTCAAGAGCAATTTATGGGAATGTGCTCTGCGTCTCGTCCTTCCCACACTATTTGCACTAGTCTAACATCAGTTCACTTTCAGCTCAACTGAACGTAAACTGATTTGCAACAGTTGACTGCAGCAGGTGGACGGATAGCCAACTGTCAGTTCAGCCATGCTTATAGCATGGGAAGGTGGACGGTTATCATTTCACCTGACGTAAGCTCAACTGATGTTTTAAGTTCAGTTCACTTAGACTGATGAGCTTTATTACGGGCCAGTGTATTTGGCCTGTTCTAAATGTGCATTCTCAGTATTATATAACCACTGATTTGATTAAATTATTTTGCTCTTCATGTGTTGAGTTGTTATCAACTGCTTCTTTAGACACAAGATTTTGTTGGGCTCTAAGATTCGTTGTTAGGTAGGCATCTTAATGCAAGGCAATGCAGTTCTTGCCACTTTTGTATTAGGGTAGAAATCTTAAACGTAAATTTCCGGTTTGCCAGGAGTGCAAGTTTACCATTTAATTTCTAAAATCTAGCCCCCTCCTCTGCAACATCTTGATCTCAGGATTCGTCATTTTGAAACGGTTAATTTTTGCGCTAGACACTTCTTTTCTCTGAGCATCCGGCTCAGAGCTGTCTAGGATAGGGTTTACTGCAGGACGAAGGCGCAAACCGCGAAATTTCAGTTTCATTAGCTGCGGGGAGGGTGAGGGGAGACATTAGGCACACGGTTTACAACAGATCAATACGTACGTCGTATTTGTGCCTATCCAACATCCTTTTGCGCCTTCTTCCCGACAATAGATTATGGATCAAGATATTTTGGTAGGATCCATGATGTTCAAGTGATATTTCAAGAATCTAAAAGCTTTAACGGCGGCAGGCTCGTGTAGCCCGCGAACAATAGTGCAATTATAACACTACTCGCAAACTGGCTCCCCAGCTATAATATGCCTGCAGATAACAGTCATAGCTTTGATTATCCATGGAAGAATAAGTAGACATAGGCCCGTAGTAAACCCCACTTCACTTCAGATGATCTCAACTGAAGGGCTGAGTTGAGGTATTTAAGATAAACTGACTAGCGGTCACTCTCACATGCTTAAGAATGCGACCTGATCTGAAGCGTTAGCGTCAGGGCATGTGCTGCGATGAATTCACCTGAAATCCGTAAGAGCAGCCTCGATTTTGAGATGAATTGACCGAAATAGTGTGCAAGGGATGAGACGCAGAGAAAGGTCCCGTAAGTTGCTCGTGAGTAACTTACGGGACACTTACATAATACTGCAGACTAGAATGCGCGAAACTGCACAACCGCGCCCGAATAGGAGAGGGTCGATGAACAGCTGATTTTGGCGAGGAAAACAAAAAGAAAATTCTTCTCTTTTTTGTAAATTTCACTGTTTTTTTTGAAGTTGTTCAGAATGAAAACTCATTTGTTCACTTCATTAGATTCACGCTGCAACCATTTCGTTTTTTTATAATATTCTCGTCACAAAATGCTTTTTGTTCTATCCGTGCATTGCTAGGCGAAATCCTCGCTAGCGGTCGTGATCGATTGCGATAGTGGCCGCTATCAAAGATTGCCCGGCGATGCAGCAAAAGTTGTGTCGCTAGACGGATCGACCACGGCCGCGCGCGTGCAATTCCAATCACTTACCCGTTCGACCAAACCGGCTCAAGTGGCCATTTTTTCAAGAATGCACTTGATTATGATGTCCAGGAAGTGATCCGCATCCAGATCAATAGCTCGCCGGATGCTAGACTGAGGCGCGATGAGATCACCCCCCCGGTCCGCGCCAAGAGAGATGCCCTGATGGAGGGTTTATTACGGGTCATAGAAAAAACGTTGGACATTTGAGACCATGATTTCCGAACAAGATTAGTAGCTCGCGCGCTTGTCGTTGCGGTTGCATTACGCGAATCTGTGGCCGTTACACGATCTGTACATTGAGATTGTTTTAAAAATGAACAAAAGGTGTCTAAAGGTTGTAACTAGAGCATTAGGTACCTGATTCGTTGGAGGTGCGACGCCCAAAACACTTCATTATAAAAACTGAACCATTTTGTGAAACTGCAAAAGCTGGCAACTTTTTATCACCTCTACAACAGAAGTCTATTCATATTTGCCTCACGTTTCTTGAGCAAATCTGCTTGAAAGCAGTGGCTCGGCAGGTTGCGACTTTGAAATGCTCATCGTTTTTGGATCTTCCGGATGAGTTGAGTGCAAAAGTATGTTTTGCAACTTCAAAGATATCGACGACTTGCTCCGCACGTAGAAAGTACTGTTTAGGCGGGAGGAAAGCCTGCTCTTTAGAAAATGATTGGCTTGCGGAGAGCGGGACGAATTAAACCCATTTCGATGACAATTCGATAATGGGCTCCAGCGGCCAATTGTTTTACAAAAGGGCGCGCTTTCTCAGTCGCTCAAATAGCACTTCCCACGTCCAAAAAAGCGAGTTGCTAATATCTTCAAAACGGCGAAGGTCCTAACCCAGCTCATCCAGTGAGTAAAGAACAATGAGTATCCCACAGTTGTCATTCTGCCGAGCCTACTGCCTTACTGCATGTTTGCAAATCTGTGCTTGCTTAGGTTGTAACATGGATTAGGTAAATCTACAATGTATGTAACAGTTTTATTTCAGAGGTTCAGTTTTGCTTCGGAAATCATGAAGAAGCTTTGCAACGGTGCAGACGGCCCTCGCACATGGGCGCAACGACGAGGAGATTGCAACAAAGCAGCTACATACAACGAGAAGTTGAAGCAGTGCGAATGCCTTGATCCCAAATCTGACGGTCGTGTGCTTTATCCGGAAACGTACGGACAATACCCTCCTGTAGGTTACTCCAAACGCATTTCCACTTCTCATTTCAATTTATAACGGTCTAATGAGGACAATGACTTTATCATCTCTTGTTAAAGTGAGGTACTCGTGACGTTAGCGCACACATTGTCTAACAAGCATGACTTGTTCTTCTTTGATCCCAAGTTGTTATTTATTAAAAAAGAGCGCAGAACATATGCTAATTATTCATTTGCAGAACATTTCAAGCATCCTCGTTTCAAAATAGACGGCGTTTCGAATTGAACGTTATTTGATGTTAGGTGGTTTTTGAGTTACCTGGAGAGCCACCCGAGGTGGCTCAGAAAACAGACATAAAAAAGAAAAAAGTTATAAAGTTGCTTCTCATCTTATAATTTTTAGAGCTTTTCTTGTGTAACTTTATCTGCATGCTAAGTTCTGTAGACTATCACGCCTTCACAGCACTCACCCTTTCATGATTTCTCACACATGATTCCATCCCGGAATTATGCATCTGCACACGTATAATTTTTTTTCATTGCGAGCAAGTCTTTTTCTATTTTGGTGCACAATCTCAAATTTCCGCGCTTGCGTGGAGAGCCTACTAAAGCGGAATTGTTGGCTTTGCGGGAAATAATTCTGTAAGGTAATGGTGAGTGCTTGTGACGTCTGCAGAGGGTGAGGAGGTAGCATAGAAGAGGGGAGCGAGGAGGAGGAGGAGGAGGGGGGATGTGCGAGAAGGGATACCTGGGAATTGTTACATATGGGCTTCAAACGACGAAAGTGCTGAGATATAAGTTTTGTTAAAGGTAGTGGGAGGAGGGCAAAAATGTATGGGCCTAGCGTTGGCCAGCTTTTGAAGGTTTAACGCTTTGATTTTTTTTTTGAAAATTCAATCTTAGGGTAATTCTCGATAGCTAAGATTCATGCTCGTCCGGAATTTCGCTCCGATCCCCCTTTTTATCCCTGAACGATATCCAGCCTGCCCAATAAGCCTGTGCCAAGGTTCTTACAACCTCAAAGCTGATCTCCGATTTTTTCCTCCAAAACTGTCCGCCCATCCGCGTATGAGTGTGTTTAGTCAAAGTGCTATGCCTTTGCTTGAACTTGGCCAAGGCCTACGCGAGCAGCAGTTCGTGGTCCAACCCAGCGCAGTATTTTTTGAGGTCTGTGCTTGGACCTGTAAGGGTACTGCTTACAAGGAAAGGATACTTGGTCGAAGGAAAGGATACTTGGTCATACTATCTCAATATCTCCAAATCTAACGTGCACGGTCCTTCAACACATGGACGCGTAGCTTCTGTAACTTTTTGCAAACCGATGAAGTCCCGCCTTAAAAAACCGCTCTGACGATCACTTATGAACAGTCGTTCCGGTACTAAATCGCGCAGCAACTGGAATCGCGTGAGGTATGCCTTAGGCCTTATAGAGCATGGAACGCTAATTCCAAATATGAATTTGGAATCTGCAAAGCGCTTTTGAGGCGGTAGTTATGAGAATTTTTGGGGCAAAAAATCAAGGTTTTGCCTACGGTAAAAACGAGCGTTGAGGTCTTCGCGTCTTTTATGGAAGACTAGCTTGAATTTTTTAGACTGAAGGCATTAACTACACTAAGCGCCTTGGCAAAATTCATGATTCGTTCAAGCTCACAGACTACAGTCTAAACAATTGTAGGTGCGTCTTACAATTTTTGCGTCAAAAAGTTTGCATAACTCCCCTGCCAAAAGCACTTTGCAGATAACGAAAGCGATTCGGAATCAGCGTTCGGTGTTTCATAAAGCAGTATACATTTCCTATACAGGCACCACTTCGACCACGCATCCTTCTCTTGTTAGTCTTCTTTATCCATGCTTAGAAACCTTCTGTACATGCTTTCAACTATTTCCTGTTCACAAAGGGTTGTACTCCCATGTTTCTGACCTTCGCGTTCACAGGTCTGACCTGTATCTATGAGTCCCAATAGTTCACACGTTTGTGCTTATTTCCTCTCATTCTTTCATTCTCTTCCACTACGTGCTCACTATAATTCAGTGTTTTGCGTGAAACTGTAATGGAGTAAAAAAACTTTTTGGCAAGGAAAAGCTTCAATCTCTTCTTTAAAGTCAACCCAGCTTGCACGGGAATATCACTTCGCGTTTTCTGCGCATTTCTTTTGCGTCACTAGTGCTGCTATCCGCTCATAGTCACTTTAATTTGTTGGGGTAAAAAGTCCATCTGTTGTTCTCGCTTAATCATCGTAATGCCTCTAGACTTGTCACCTAAGTGGGACATGGTGCTTAATTTTTTTCTCACATTCTGCTCTTACAAAGCTCAAGTTCTGGAACAAGAAGTTCTTCCTGGTCACGAAATACGTTGTGAAAGCGAAGAAGTCACGAAGACGGGACATCCCTTTCATATCCGTGCGGAAGTCCGACAACATATTGTTTTGATGTGTCATCTATAGAAGACTGCGCTCGTGCGCTCTGTGAGTCGTGGTCCTTATAGCTTTCGACGTGGCTACAATGTCGACCCAAGTCTCAGCTGCGTAAAGTTCTCGGATGGTCGAACAGGTGGATATGAAGCTACGGGTCCGCTACTGGTCGGTGGCTTCCTGTAGGGGCACGGGCGGCCCGCTGCTCTTCTTCTCCTAAGTCGTTATGTTCTTCTCTTAAGTCGTTCTCCATCTTCACCGAACGATTGAGATACATGTAAGAAAACGTCTCTACGATAGGGGTACCTTCTATTTTTATTTCTGCATCTTCGCAAAGGTGTTCTTCATGGACTGAGTCTTTCTTCGATTTATCCGCAATCCGATCTTCTTCCCTGCTCCTTTAGTCACTTCAGCATCGTCTCTGCTTCAATGATGCTGCTCAAACAGAGAGCAATGTCGTTCGCGAAACGGAGGTTCGACAGGAATCTCACATCAACTCGTATGTTTCTCTCGTCCCAGTTCAGTGACTTCATCACCCATTGCAAGGCCAAGGTGAACAGCTTTGCCACGAAAGTTGGCTACACTACTTGAAACGACAGCGCTGACAGGATGGCGTTGGTTTCGACGCTGTCAAAAGTTTTCTTGTAGTTGACGAAGGTTAAAACTAGAGGAAGTGGTATTCCGGCAAAGTTCTATGACCCGTCTGGATTGTCCTAAATCCAGCTTCTTCTTGGGGCTGGGCTGGCTTTGAGAGACTCACCTTTTCATGTGCCATGCTTGAGTTTAGCGCCATGAGGAGGCGTGGAATAAAAGCAAAAAAATGGAAATCGAGAATTTGGGATGCTATTCCATGTGTTTTCATCACTATCCCTTGTCACTTTTTGATTTTCATGCTATTTTCTATGGTCATACCTGCTATTGTTGTAGCAGTAACTAAACGAAATTGAAATTGACACCTTTACCTAAGTAAGGGTTTAAAGAACGAAGTGGCAACGGATACGTTACCATACGGCTTTTAGCGAGAAGTAAGTGCAATAGGACAAGGAGCTTACGGAAATCAGCTACAGCTTTGTGGCAGCCAACTGAGAGCATTTCGTTGTCTGTGACATGCAAGTCTGATGCACTTTTAGTTGAAATTGTGCAGAAGCAGCATGAGCAAACATGAACAGAAGAAATTCCGCGAGTGCTCAAAGAAATTTTGATAGTGTAGATGATTTGATGGCGAAGTCTTGAAGAATTCAAAAAAGCTTTCCTAAAGTTAGACTTGGCAGTGTTCAGAAATGGGGTGCAGATATTTACCATTTGATTCAACTGGCTTGGCAACGGCAAAGGCGGGGCTTCGTGATCTAATTAAGGCTAGGTAATGATCAGAGAGCGCGAGAGAGACGTAAGTGCGTCGCGGGAGCGAGCGGCCTCAATTAGATCACAAAACCCCGCCCTAATGGTGCCAAGCCAGTTGAATCAAAAGTTACTATTAGTTTGCTCTACCTCGCTCCTTCAATGTATCGGTTTTTATTCGTCACTGAAGCAAGGATCTTTTGAAGCCAGGAAGCGAAAAGCCTCAGCGAATCATGTACCATTCGAAAGCTGAGATTACGGAGAATCGAAGTAAATTGTAGACTTATTCTATATTTCTATTTTTTTCTCTTTTTTCTTTCTATATTTCTATTGATTCGCTTTGTTGACGAAAATGCACTTAATTTCCTTTCATTTCAAAAAACTAATCAAAGTAATTTTATTAGCGTAAACATTAACCAAACACAGTAGTCATTGCATATCAGCTGAACTGTTCTTGCAATTTCACTTGATCTTCTGTGCCGTACAGGTTTTCAACGATGACACATTTTATTGCCTGACGTTTCGATTACACAACGTCTTCAGAGGCCTGGAAAAGTATCAGTTCCGTTGATATCACTCTACTTGCTGTCAAGCCCTCCTCCCATCTGCGTACTCAATTTGTCTAGGATGAAGATCGGGAGGCTGGGCGTAGAAATCTACCCACCGAGTGTATCACCGATAGCAGTGTTATCTGCAACTTGCTCGATGGACTGACGAAATGAGCAGTCGGAACAGTCTGAGGCTGCTTAAGTATAGATCAGCTGTCTCACACATAGTTCTGTAAGGCTCCGGCCGGGCAGAGCTTCCTGCCCGGGGCCGTGAATCAACCATGGCGAGTTTCCACTTGTTCCGCGGACTCCGACGCTACACAGGGGCTGAATTAAATTCTTTTATTTAACTACAGTCAAACTACATAAAGGGAAAAACGAACCACTTAATACAAAAGGATCACAGATAAGACACACCAAGAGATGATTATGAGGGAGAAAAAGATAATAAATGATCAAATCATGAGAGGCATCCAAAAGGAAAGATGGAAATTGAAAGATTGAAAGACGAGGTCCGCCCTGGTTGAAGCCAGCCCTGCTATTTATAGGGCCGAGCCACTCCATGTGTATTGTGTTCGAGTTTTAATAGAGTGAAAAATTGAAAAGAAATAAAGTTGATGAACAGCTGATGTTGATATTAAATTTCGACCAGCTGGTAAATAGCTGATATTAATTTCAACCAATTGATGTCAATATTAAATTTTACGCGTACATAGAGTGCACGCTTTGCAGCGGGC